TTTATTTTTAAATTCTATATATAGCTTATTGTAAATATAAATATTAATATAAAATTAAAATAAACTGAAAATGGATTCTTTAGCTTTATCTCAATGCAACTATTTTATTATAATAATGTAATTTTGTTTTTTGTTTTTTTTAAAAAAATTTATTATTCTTAACTTTTTTTAATTTATAAGTCTATTCAAACCAAATATGGTTTAAAAAAAGAATATGAAAAATTAGAAAATGAATCTCAAGAAATAAAAATAAAACTCGAAAAAGAACAAGAAAAAAGAGAAAAAGAACAAAAAGAAATGCAAGAAAAATATGAAAACTTAAGAAATGAAGCTCAAAATTGTTATAATATTCTTTTAAACCAAAAAAAAAAAAGAACAAAAGAAGCTCAAGAAAGATATGAAAACCTAAGAAAAGACACTCAAGATAAAAGAAAGAAATTGCAAAGAAATTATTTTTTTAAATTTATTATTTTTATTTTAGATGTTATAATTAAACTATTATTTTTTGTTTAAAATATTAATAAAATACTAAATTTTAATTATCAAAAATTGTAAATAATTGTGCAATATTTTGTTTAACAAGTTTTTCATTACGTTCTAAGCTAGAAACATATTTTTTTAAAGATAAAATTCTGTCTTCATAAGATTTTATAGTAAAATTTAGTTTTTTTATTTCTTCTTTTTGTTTTGAGGATTTTATTTTTATATAGTCAAGGTTTTTTTTTAAGTATCTTTCGCATTTTTCTGAGTTTTCACTAGGAACACAACCAATTTTTAATTTTTTACACCAAAACAATGAGTTTTTGTTGTTCGATTTAAAGTTGAATTTTTATAGCAGGCATTTTGAATAATTTTAAATTAAAAAATTGTGATTTATTTAGTATTTATATATTTTATTAATTTAATATAAAATAATTTTACTGATTGATAAAATAAAAGTTTAAAAATAATGATAATTTTAAAAAAAATTAAAAAAAATGATAGAGTAATAAAAAATTTATTGATTGTTTATATTTATAACTATTATAATAAAAAATTTATATTTCTTTTCTATTTATATTTTCTGTAATTTGATCGTGTGCTAATTTAAATTCAATTGCTTGTTGTTTTGCTTGTTCATTATTTTTTTTTTTGTTAATTTTAAATATTTTTCTTTTAAGTTTATAATTGTTATACTAATAAAACCTCCAAGTCTTATTAAATTTATCATATAAAACTCCATCATAATTTGAAGTATTGTTTTTAAATAAATTATGATTTAAATTATTTTGACTATAAGTTGTTTTTCTTAAATTACATTTTCTATTATCAAAACCTATTCTGTTTTTATAATCAACCATCTTATATTTTGGATAAATCATTCGATGAATTTTAATAGTTGTTCTTTTATTTTCTTTTTTAATGTGTATTTGGATATAATAAATATTTTATCTTTTTGTGTAGTCCAAGTATAATTTTTTATTAAATCAAAGTTGTCAAAATTAGTTAAAAATATAATTTCTGGTTTCTGTATTGAGACTTCAAGGAATAAAGTTGCATCAATTTCAACAACTCGATAAGAATTTGATTTTCTTTGTGGTTTAATGATTGACAATTCAGTCTAACTAGACAAAACTTCAAAGTCTTTAAATTTTTCTTCCCAATTTATTTTTATTAATAAAAAAGAAAAGACAAGTCTTTGTATAATGTAAAAAATATTAAGCCTTTAATATATTT